TATATTAAGAAAAAGAACTTCAAAAGAAGAGAATTTATAGCCTATTTTCTGGCTCACGCCTAAGGCTTTAGTATGGATGGTTGCTATACCTCCACCTCGGCCGCTTAAACGAGGACTATGTGCATAGTTGTAGCCTGGGGGTGTGGCTTTGTTTAGACTGAAGTATTCATCGGGTCTAATTCACGTTTCTGTAAGGCAGACAGAGCATCAAAACCATGATCGGTAATAATTTCATTAGCAACGACGGCTTTAGGAGTAAGGGATCTTATGTTAAGCAGTCCTAGTTTTAGACCAAAGGTGCTGTCACTGCAAACTGGTATAACTGGTCTGATATTAATCAAGTTACTATAGCAAACATTTTGAGGCTCTTTGATGCTTTGTTTTATTCGGGGAACAGACATAGTCTCTATCGGGAGGAACCAATGTGGCGTCTCAAGGCAGTTTGCGGTATGAGCATTTGTATTTATAGAATAAGTATTTGTATTTGTATTAGCAGTTGCCCTATTTACAGTATAAATACTAGCAATCGCCTTATATTCAGCAATAACACTAGCATTATTAGCTGTAGCGTTTTCTATTTTTTTAACTATATGAGATTTTCACTGAAATTAACTTGTAAACAACAATATATAACAAATACTGGTGCCATTGTTTCCAAATACTTTAGAGAAATATAAAAACAAAGTTTATAAAGAGTTACCAATAATGTCATTTTTATGTGTCGCTCATTCACACTCTCAGTATGAATTTACTTCAAATTCTTAAACTAGTTGGCTTATCAGATAGATAACTATGGTCAATGTTAGCTAACATAACCCCTTTGCCTCACATAAACCCAAAGTTTGCTAGCTAGCTAACAATGCAACATTATTCAAATACTCATAGGTCACGTCTCTAGACTTGCTGATGGTCCTCATATGTGTTCTGGGAGAGTGGAGGTGCTTCGTGGAGAGACCTGGTCCACAGTGTGTGATGCTGACTTTGACCAGCAGGATGCAGAGGTTCTGTGTCGAGAGCTGGACTGTGGGCTTCCTGTGGAGGTGCTGGGAGGAGCTGCTTTTGGCAGAGGGAAGGGTCAGGTGTGGCGAAAGAAGCTTCATTGTAAAGGCAACGAATCAGAGATTTACTTGTGCCCAACATCATCTTCACTCAAACACAGTTGCTCCCATGACAGTGATGTGGGACTGGTCTGTGCTGGTAAAGAATGCATATTTAAGTTCTCTTTAAAAAGCATTTTGAATTTTAGTAAACTATGCCACTGTTTGTCTACATTATATAAGCAATGATTTGGCCTTTTTCATGCTCAGTCCTGAAATGTGATGTTGATTCAGGTCACACTCAGGCTCAGCTGATGAACGGCTCTGACTCCTGTTCTGGTCGAATGGAGCTCCAGTACCTCAGTGAGTGGGGCACAGTGTGTGATGAAAGCTTGGATATAAGAGCTGCCAGTGTCCTCTGTGGTCAGCTGAAGTGTGGGAGTGCTGTGGCTGTGTTGGGGTCAGACTGGTTTGGGGAGGGGAGTGGCCAGATCTGGGCTGATGTGTTTGATTGTCAGGGTAACGAAACCCACCTGTCAAAATGTCCCATTTCATCATGGAGTCGAACTGCATGCTCTCATAAACAGGATGCTGGAGTCATCTGCAGTGGTGAGCAGCTCTTGGCGTATTTTATGAAAACTATTAAACTCTGCTATTCTAAAACAGTAAAAATGTTCGGTCTGTTTCACCTTTAGTCAAAAAGAAATCTTTTTTTCCTCTCCAGGTTCCTCTCTGGCGTTTCATGAGGGGCGTGTACGGTTGTCTGGAGGGATGGAGTGTGAGGGGGAGGTGGAGGTGTACTTCATGCAGGACTGGAGGAGTGTTCTGCTGGACTCCTGGAGTGAGTCTGAGGCCTCTGTGGTCTGCAGACAGCTGGGCTGTGGCTCTGTGATCAGCTTCTTCAGCTCCTCTACATCCAGTCCTGAACACAGACACATGTGTGTGATGGGTTTCAGTTGTTCTGGGAGTGAAGCTCATCTGGGGAACTGCAGCAGTGCACAAGTTATGGAGAAGTCCTGCAGTTCAGGAGATCAAATCTCAATCACCTGCTCTGGTAAGTGTTACAGCAGTTAATTAGCAAGAATTTTCCTAAAATAATTCTTACCAACATATACTGTTATCTTTATTGTTCATTTTACAGTCAAAACAATTATTTTCTTCATAATGTAGAAAATCAATGAGCAATATGTTGTTCTCATCTTAAAACAGCTGTAACATATGAATAATTATAGGGTGAACTGCTGTGTGTGTATGTGTGTGTGTGTGTGTGTGTGAAGGTAAGTTTAATTCAGCTCACAGCTCCATCAGGCTGGTTGGTTCTGGAGGAGACTGTGCAGGAAGGCTGGAGGTTTTCCACAGCGGCTCATGGGGGTCAGTGTGTGATGACTTGTGGGATATTGAGGATGCGCAGGTGGTGTGCAGAGAGCTGCAGTGTGGAGTGGCCGTCAGTGATCCGGTACCAGCCCAGTTTGGACCTGGAAATGGACCCATATGGCTGAATGAGGTGGAGTGTGAGGGGAACGAGACGTCCCTGTGGAACTGTAGATTTCAGCAATGTGGAGAGGGTGAATGTGAACACATGGAGGACGTAGGAGTCGTGTGCTCAGGTAAAATGTGCTAAATGCTGTTGTACTTGATATTTTGAGCCAGCTGTATCTGACAGATTACAAATTACACAGTCTTTTAAAATGTTATGAAGATACATACAGCACATTTTAAACTACTGATATGCAAACTGGGTGACAATTTGTACAAAAGACATTCACAGTAAAACACTAAACTTCTAAAACAGCATATTTTAATACTAGGTAACTGTAGAAGTAATACTACATAGCAGAGTATTCATGTAAAGCAAAGTATTTCTTTTCCCAACAGAATTTAAAGAGTTCAGACTCACCGAGGGCTGTGAGGGGAATCTGGAAGTGTTCTATAATGGAAACTGGGGTAATGTGTGTTTAAACGAAATGTCTGATGAAACAGCTAGTGTGGTTTGTCGAGAGCTGAACTGTGGAAGATCTGGCAGTGAGAGACCTACCAAAGCAAGAGTGGAATCAGCTCCTAACTGGCTGGATGGTGTGAAATGTAGGAAACATGACTCCACTCTGTGGCATTGTCCATCTTCACCCTGGAGAGAGAACAACTGTGATGGAAAAAATGAGGTGGCTCACATTACCTGCTCAGGTAGGCAGTTCCTCTCTATAGATTATACTGCTTTTATGTACACTACGATGCAAAAAAGTGATATATAGATATTGTTGTTTTTACTGATGTTTTTGGCCTGTTCAGAGTCTAGATTTAAACTCTAAATGGAATATTTGGTCTCACATTAAACACAAGCTAGCTTGGCAATGTTTCAACTGTTTGAAGCCATCAATGCTGAGAGGAACAATGTTGACTCTTCTTTCTGTAAAAGGCTGTCTGCAGGTTTATCCACAAGACCTCAACATTTAAAGAAGTCAAAAGGAAAAACTCCAACATACTATGATACATTATCTATTTGTTTAATTCTTGTCAAATTACTTACCGATGTTTTGTTGTTAAGATTAAAAACTTGATATCTTTCCATTTTGGGCTTGGACCATTTGTCTGCATGAGAGCATATTGGAATGAGCAAAAATATTTCAGATGGATCAGTCTGCTCATAGACAGAGTGATCTGGGTGTTTATGGTATTTATGATTTAATTTTTGTTGTCATGGCAGACCAAAGACGCCAGCACACCCATCAGACATGCTCTTCATCTCTGTACCAGAAACAGTGCTCAAGTAAGAACATTTATTTTATTAATATATAGAACAGAGTTTTACTTCTCTGCTAATGTTTTATTTTTTCTTTCTAAATGACATGAAACAGCTTGTCTTGTGTTATGTGTATTCATGTTCTTGGTGTTCTCTAATTTAATTTCAAAAATAGTAAGCTTACATCATGCCACACTGTTCATGATCAATTTGTTCTGAATTATATAACTGAGATCAACCTTTGTGGTACAGTCATTTTGGAAAATCAGAATTAATATATTACAGTACATTGTTGAAAATTCTAAGATCTGAGACTCTCATCATGTGTGATGTGTGTGATGTAGAGCATCGGCCTCTCAGGCTGAGGGGAGGAAAGGAAAGCTGCTCTGGGAGGTTGGAGGTGTATCACAACGCTGAATGGGGGTCCGTCTGTGATGATCTGTGGGACATCAGGGATGCTCAGGTGGTCTGCAGACAGCTGGGCTGTGGGCCGGCGCTGAGTGCTGATGGGAGTGCTGTCTTTGGTGCTGGTGAAGGGCCTATCTGGCTGAACAGAGTGAAGTGTAGAGGGAATGAGATTCACCTGTTGGACTGTCCTCATTCCCTGAAGAACCACACTGACTGCTCCCACAGGCAGGACGCTGGAGTCACCTGTGCAGGTCAGAGGAGTCTGCTGGATTTTGGAGTGTATGACTCCACTTAGATCACGTTTATCCCAGCGTTAATAATAATCTGCAAGTCTTTAATGAAAAGTGGATTGGTGTAATTTTGGTCATGTTGTCTAATTTGACATATCATCCCTGTCCAAAGTAAAACAAGTATCTCCAAAATGGTAAATTTACAGAAGGCAAAACATTCTTAACTTTGAATGCAAGTTAATGAAAAGAGGTTTTACTCTAAGCGAATTTTTTTGGTCCATTCATTATGAAATGTTCACACACTGTAAAGGGGAGCTGCCATGTTCAAATGCAGTAGAAAAATAAAAATTGACAAAAAATGGAGGTATGTGTTTTCTTTTGGACAGCGACAATATGCAGTGCTTACATTGTGAGGATTCACAATCAGAACTGCCAGTAAACACCAGCTTTACTTTAATCAGTGTAACTTTCATTTGGTGCTTTGTTTGTTATTTTTATGTTTTGTTTCTGTATGCTCAGACATATCTGCACCTTCTACTACCACACCCATAAGTACAACCACCACCTCCGCCACCACAGGTACTTTCTTATGTCTTAGGTCATTTTTTTCTAAATGATTGTAAATAGATTGTTCAGTGCTCTGCAGTTTCTATTCTGTTTTTTTATCTGCAGTTGGCCGGCCAAGAACAACAACCACTCCATCCCCACCTGTTCTGTCCATCTATCCAGTGTCTCTCCTGGTTCTGGGAGTGGTGCTCTTCCTGGCCTTAGTGCTTCTGGTTGTGCTGTTTTACCAGAACAGAGTGCTCAGGAGAGGTAGAGAGATTCAGAGATCATCTACAATCCACTTTCTGTACATTCTCTAAACATCATTAGTCCTTCAATCTTTCTTCAGTCTGCTCTTCTACTGAACTGGCTCCATGTTTCTCTCTGTCTCCCTCACAGTGCTCTCTAAGAGGAGGCGTAAGACTCTGACTGAGGCAGTCTATGAGGAGATCGACCGCAGATACATCACTAAAAGAAATGACTCGACTCGCAGGGGTGAGTGATATATGGAGTGTTCTGCATGAGGATGATTGTATTAAAGTATACTTACATTAGACATAACAGAAGACACCCAGCTATACCTGCTCACTCTCAGTGTTCAAAGCAATATTTAATGTTTTTGAAATTATAATGATTCAACAGTTTAACAGAAATGAAATAAATTTAATCAAAATCAGTTAAATGATATATTAGTGTATATTATATATAATGTGCAGTTAGAGTAGATCTACATGTAGTGTAGTGTGTTAATTCAGCTGATAAGCATCTATTAGGCAGCTGAAGTTAAACTGAGTAATTCCTGTAAAACTTCCATTTTTGTACATACAGAGAAACCACACAGCTGCAAGTGTGTGTGTGTGTGTGTGTGTGTGTGTGTGTGTGTGTGTGTGTGTGTGTGTGTATGTATGTGTGTGTGTGTTGTGGGAAATACAGAGACTGAGGGAATCACTGTGAATGAGTGAGTGAGTGAGTGAGTGAGCCACTCAGTCAGCCAGTGAGTGTCCAAGTGACCAAGTGAGACAGTGATAAAGTAAGAAAGTGACCAAGTTAGAGACTGACTGAGTGAATGATGTAGTGAGTGAGTCCCTGTTTGTCACGAGGTGTCAGAGTGAGTGACTGAATGAGTAAGTAACCAGTTGACCTCGTGAGTGACCAAGAGACAGTGTGAGTGAGAGACTGAGTGACCTATTGAGTGACTGAGTTCCTTATTGAATGACTGAATAACCAAATGACTGAGGAAATGACAGAATAAGTTGGGTAATGAGTGACTTAAAGACAGTGAGTGACTGACATAATGATCAGGTAATGAGTGACCAAGGAAGTGAATAGATGACTGCATGACTAATTGAGTTACCAAGTGACCGAGTGAGTACGTGACCGAGTGACTGAGAAAGTGAACGAGTGAGTGTCTAATTGACCAAGTAAGTGACAAGAGACTGAGTGACCGAGTGACCTAGTGTGTCAGTGACCAAATGAGTCTTGAGTGTAGTGTCTCTACTGTCTACTGATATTATTTCATATTATTAACCCAGTTCACAGTGATCCACAGCACTCAGAGGATTGTGGGTGGTTCTGCATTCTGAATGTGTTTGATGACTGTTCTGCTCTCCTCTAACAGGAAGTATCCTCTCTGAAGAACAGCATTCAGGATATGAGAATGTGGATGAGGAGCTTCTCTCAGGTAAGAGGACCAGAACATGTGTGTGTGTTAAACAGCTGGAAACTGACAAGCATCACAATCACCATTTAATAATTAGAGAATTCCTTATAAATTCATGATTCTGTCACAGTTATGCAAAGAATGTTTACAGTAAATATTTTTGAAATAAATATGCACATAAATTTGCTCTCAGTTTATTGCCAGATGTGTTTTATTGTGCTTACTTGTAGGGGTGAAGATAAAATTGATACACGGTAATATTGCGATTATTCTAGGAAAAACTTTCTAATTAGAAGATCAAAAGAACACCATCACTTTTTAAAAATATATTTAAAAATCAAATACAAATAATAAAAAATAAATCTAAATAAATATTAACAATATTCAGTAAATACAATCTCTGTTATTACAGAGAGACGTTTTTGTTTTAATTGAGTCAGTTTAGTTTGTTTCTCTGATTAAAGATTTGATTTGTATCTAGATCAGAAATGTCTGGCAGAAATGATTTTCTTCATAATCTTAGTGTCTCACACTGTAGCTCACAAAAACACACTGAGATTCATCTCTAGATCAGACGTTTCTGTCAAAAATGATTTCCTACAAAATCTTAATAAAGTCACACTGCAGCTCACAAAAGACTGAAAGTGTTACATTAAAACCTCTCTGAATTATTATTTTTTTTTAATATAAATAAAAGTAATACATTTTTCTTTTTCTGCAGCAAAGTCTCTGACTGGAGTAAAGGTGGAATACTATGATGATGTCACCACCAGTGGCCTGATAAGTGAGATCCTTTATTAATTAATTGCCTGATTTTATCTTTAAACATTAAACCACAATGTAAAAATATGACTGCACTGTTTGTAAAGTCAGACTGCTTTTACTTGATTTAGGTAAATCAGCAAAAGAGGACACAGCAGAGGACTATGATGATGTCATCACTGCTGGACAGATCTCTGATAGTGTAGCAGGTGTGTTTTATAATTTGGAGTTTTAGTTTAGAAAGAAGTAGAAATTAAGTAGAGATAAAAGGTTCAGAACAAATGCTGTAAAATTAGAATAACCAAATATTCAGTAACTGTAATGATTCATTTGTGGAGCTTTACTGCCCCCTACAGATACAGTCCACAATTACGTGCAGGGAGATATTTTGGTTTTCACAACATATGATCATCATGTCCACAAAATCTGGACAAAAATGTATTCATGATTTTGTTTTATTACATTACATTTCATAAAGTAAATCATTTACACAGATGAGCCAAAACATTATGACCACCTGCCTGGTGTTAGTCCACCAGAACAGCTCTGAAATATTAAATCACAATATAAAAATATGATTGAACTAATACAGTTTATTTAGGTGAATCGGCAAAAGAGGACACAGCAGAGAACTATGATGATGTCATCACTGCTGGACAGATCTCTGATAGTGTAGCAGGTGTGTCTAATTTGTTTGAGTTTTAATTTAAAAAGAAGTTTGGATTAAGTAAAGATTAAAACTTCAGAAAAAATGCTGTAAAAATAGAATAACTAATTACTCAGTAACTGTAATAACTATAATGATTTATGGAGCTTTACTGCCCCCTACAGATACAGTCCACAATTACGTACAGGGAGATATTTTGGTTCCGGCAACATATTATCATCATGTCCACAAAATCTGGACAAAAAATGATTCATTAATAATTATTACACTACATTTCTTAACATAAAGAATTTACACAGATGAGCCAAATCATTATGGCCACCTGCCTGGTGTTGGTCCTCTGCATGACGCCAGAACAGCTCTGACCCACCGAGGCATGGACTCTACAAGACCTCTGAAGGTGACCAATGGTCTCTGGCACTAAAAACGTTAGCAGCAGGTTGTTGGACTTGTCTGGCACATCCCACAGATGCTTGATCGGATTGAAATCTGGGGAATTTGGAGGCCAGGGCAAAACCTTGAACTCTTCATCATGATCCTCAAACCATTCTTGGACAATGTATACAGTTTGGTGCATTGATGAGCCTTGTGCACCAAACACTGAGTTGCTGGTACCCGGTTTGTCCCTCTGACCACTGTCAACAGGTACTCACCACTGCTGACTGGGATCATCCCACAAGCCTTACCGTTTCAGAGATGGTCCAACCCAGTTTTCCGGCCATAACAAAGTCGCAAAGTCATCATGTCTGCCCATTTCTCCTACATCCAACATGATGACTATGAGAACCGACTGTTCGCTTATTGTCTAATATCTCTCAGACCTTGACATGCACTGTTATGAGATAATCAACATTATTCACTTGAGTGGTCATCACGTTTTTGCTCTTTGGTGTAAATACGAATTATTATGTAAATAAAACTCAAATGGAGCTCAAATTATGAACTCAAAACTTAATAGTGAAATAGTCTCACACTAACACAACATTCAGTAAATATGGCTGAAACACCTGACAAATCTAAAATTTTATTTTTCTCTACCCTTTAAAAATGGGTTTTGGTGTAGAGGATGTGTTAGAGAATTATGATGATGTCATCACTGCTGATCAGAGCTCGGCTGTTGTAACAGGTGACTTGTAATGTAACAATACTGTAATCTCAAACATGAACACAGTCACTGATGATACTGATGCTGATTTAATGAAATTTATCTCATTTATTTTGACAGAAGACAGGAAAGATAACTATGATGATGCTGTTACTGCTGGACAAAACTCCAACATTATGACAGGTACATTTTTCTTAATGTGGACAAATAATTTTAAACTAAAGCTTTAACACAGTAAAAATGTCAAGTTTGCTTCTTATTGATATAATTTATCTTCCCATGTTGGTGTAGTGGACGCTCCAGAGAACTGTGATGATGTCATCACAGCTGAACAGGATGTAGGAGGGATAAAAGGTGAGTGGCTGATTTTGTTGTGTACGTTGCTACATTTCAGATTTACATGAATGTGGAGGATGGAGTGAGAGATTTTTTTCTAGTGTACAGGAAGTCTGGTAAAAACATGTTTACATTATCTATGACATATGATAAATAAACCGTGCGCTCATTGTTTTGATGTTGGGCAGAAGGCCGCTACTTTTACTGCACTGTCCATTCACACATGATGTTCAGCCACATGTATTTATGTTCAAAATGTTAGTTCAAATGACTAATTGATTTTATTAACCTGCACACTCTAAGTGCAGTTTGTGTCACTGACTATGAAGTGTGCACTTGAATAATTCTTCAGCAGAGTTGTGTGGGTCATTCTGTAACACTGAATATCAGTAGTGCAACACTGTCATTTTGGCAAAATTGAAAAGTAATCAGTCCTCTCTACAGCTATACGTGTATAAAGTATGCCTCATTAATAACTTTATAATGTACAATAACTGATGTATTTTGTCAGAATTTCTTCTTTTTCTGTTTAAGTTTGTTGGAAGACATGACAATCTTGCATGACCAATCACAAGGCACAGCGTAAACACAACTACACTATAAAAATGGTTTGTCAGTTCAATCTGAACCGACAAGACATTTTTAACAGTGTATCTGTTCCCCACCATCTCACTCTTATCAAGCAAGTTAGCAAATGAAAACTGCACTTAAAAATGTGAATCAGAAAACATGACACATATTCCTTCCATATAATTACATTATAATTACGTAAGTGAAACACATCACAGAAAATCTCTGAGATAGCTCAGCGTTTTCTCTTAATGGTAGGTGGGGATGGTGGGTGGGAGGTGAAACATGATATTATCGGTCAATATTATTATATCAGTTTTCCCCACCCGCTGGTGCACGATAATGTAAGATGTGAGCAAAAGACATCATGTTTGAAGGGAGATTACAGAAAAACAAGAATTTTTCCTTTTAAATGATATGATGACCAGACACAAAAAAAAATGTGAAAAGGTTCCTTTTTGATTTCAGGTTGAGTTTAATGATCTGAGCTGCAGCCTGTAGTACTAAACAGAACCTACACAGTGCTCTATTTCTGTCTTTACACATACAGTGTGCTCTAAAATAAAGATGTGCTATTTGAGATAAATGTACTTATTTTCCAGACTATGATGACGTGGAGGAGGAGCCTCAGACAGAGATGAATCATGTGACTGAGAGACCACAGCCAGTGTCTTTCATCAGGAAACTGCATTCAAACTTCTTCAAACGCAAGAAATGATTTTATCATCAATCACAAGTCAAAATGTTTTATGGAGAATAAATGGGATAAAGTGGTTTAAACATCCCCTAATTTATGTAAACAAATTACAAATTAGACATTTTTTTAACACTTTTTTGAGTTTTTCCAACCTTAGATACATTTACTGACACATCTCATCTCATTAAGTTATTCCATCAAAATGATTATGATCTTACTTTGATCTCTTAATTCAACTTTTTTATCTTCATGAAAACATTTTGGGTCTGATGTGATGAAGGTTATCAGTTAACATATTTTATGAGAAATGATTCATTTTGTGCCAAAACTTCCTTTTTAAATTGTAATTTAAGCAAATTATTGTTTTGGATTGAAGGTCTTAAATTAAAGGGCTGTTCATTTTCACTGTAGATCATTTTTTAGGGTAAAGAACTGCGGGTAAAAAACGTTCTGGTCAGAAGTGAATGTTCAGTGATCATCAGTCAGAAACAGGAAAGTGCTGTTTCACTGTAACTAACTTGTATAACAGCTTTCTGTTTTCAGTGTTGGCACTAAAAATCAAGCAGCCCCTTATAACTGTTTATTGTTCCATCCCTTTAATATATACATACATACATACATCATCTAAACCGCTTATCCTTCTGGGTCGCGGTGGGGTGCTAGAGCCTATCCCAGCTGTCATTGGGTGGAAGGCAGGATACACCCTGGACAGGTCGCCAGTCCATCGTAGGGCAGACAGACATACACACTCACACTCCATAAAATAAAATAATCAGTAATAAAACATAATTAGTCAACCAATATTGTGCTACACTGTAAAAACAGTAGAAGCATTTTAA